GCACGGAGGAGCGGGCGGGCAGGGCCTAGTTGCAGTAGTTCTCCAGCTGGTAGAGGGAGCACAGGCTGGTGCAACACTGCTCCACGATGCCCCGCTGCTGCCTGGATGCCGGCCCCTCCCCTGCGAAGGGCTGCAGGCCGCCGGCCCCCGGCCCCGCCTCACCCACTGTGGGAGAGAACAGGACAGGCGGTCCCTCTGCACCCACCCCTGCTCTGCTCAATGCCAGGGCATCCCCCCAGGCCCCAGCCACCCCAGGCAGGATGTCCCCCAGGCTGGACAGCCCCACCCCACCGGGCACTTGTGGGCAGGGCAGGCCCCTCCCTCCCTAAAAGGCCTCATGTTCTGCTGCGACCCCCTCTGAGAGTGTTGGCACCCCGTGGCCCCCGCCCCGCCTTGACATTGAAGGCCTTCCTCCCAGATCTTGGGTCTTGGTCCCATGACACCCCTCTCTCCCTGAAGCAGCTGTGGACCCAGGAGGGGTGGGGGGTGGGGCGCTGGATGGAATTGGGCACGCAGGGAGAGCCTCTGAGGGAGAGTGGAGGGGGCCGGGGCGGGGGTCTCACCTTGCTGCTCGTCCAGCGCCCGGCGGGTCTTGGGGGTGTAGAAGAAGCCTCGTTCTCCACACACCAGGTAGAGGGCCTCCACCAGGTGGGAGCCGCACAGGTGCTGGTTAACGATGGCCCTGGCTGGGTGAGGGCCCCCTGTGAGCAGCAGGGCCAGCAGCGGCAGGAGGCAGAACCAGCAGGCCATGGTGAGGGCAGGAACCTGGGGACAGGCAGGCTGAGGCTGGCTGGGGACCCACACCCTCACTGGAGCCCCCTGAACCCAGGGCCGTAGGGCCGGGGACACCATCCCAGCCCACTGCCCCTGCAAAGGCTAGGCTGAGTCCAGCACCCAGCCACCAGGCCATGCCTCCTTACAAAGGCACGCTGGGCCCAGCAGCCAGAACCCAGCACCCAGCACTCAGCCCCCTGTCCCCCTTGCAAAGGCCAGGCTGGGCCCAGGGCCTGCACTGACCTGCTTGCTGGTAGTCACAGGTGCAGTGGTGTGGACAACTGGGGCTGCCGAACCACTGGTTTTATAGCAGCCCAGAGCCCACCTCCCCAGCCCTCAGCTCACCACGGGGCCCATTAGGGCCTCACGGGGGGTGGGGGCAACAGATGGACGACGGGGGTGGGGAGGTGGGGGTGGGCTGGGGAGCCACTTTCTGGATCATTTCCCCGGAGCTGGACCTGCAAGCACGTATCTGGCCGTCAGCACCTCTCGGCTACAGGGTCATTAGCGTCCTGACTAAGGGCCTGACAGGCAAGCTGTCCCTGTCACAGCAGGGGGCAAAGTGCCCCCCCCAGCTCCCCATCAGGCTGCAGAGCTGGCTGTGGGGGCAGCAGAGCAGGGAGCACACTGCCCTGGGGTTCCAGCTTCCGAGAGAGAGCCCCGTGGCCCCAGGGACGGATGCAGGAGAGGGAGGTGAAGTGCCCCTCCCCAGGACAGGTGTCACTGCTTCTTTGGGTCCCCTCTGTCACCCTGTGTGGTGGCCAGGTGCCCTTTAACCTGATCCCCCTTCTTGGGGCCCCTCCTGGGGGCCTCGGGCCCTTAGCTCACCCCTGGGCGGCCTGCCTGCAAGGTTTCCTGGGATGAGCCCCCGGACAGACACCCCACCTGGGGATACTGACGGACTGGGCATAGCCAGGTCCCCACCCCATCCTTCACTCCCAAGCTTCCTGGACTTTTTCCTTCAATTTTCAACAATCGTACTGGCATATAACTGACAGTTGATGCCGTGACCAGTCCTGACAGAAGGCCTGACTGGCCAGTGAGCTATTGGGAGGACAGGAAGACCGTCATCCGGACCCCAAAGCAGGTCATGACAAAGACAGGAAAGAAAAAGATCCGCGGGGACGTCGGCGGAGACTCTGAAACTTGCCCTTAACCGCACAGTAGCTACGGCGCCTGGGAGAAAGGATGAAGCCAACGAGCGGAGGGCAGCTGGAGAGACAAAGTCAACTGTCCGCTAAACTCGGCAGAGACCGAGGAGCAGACAACGTAAAAGGACGAGCACGCTCAGGGTGTCGTACGTACGCGGGAGGGACTCGAGGAAAAGTCCAGCCTTGAGTGGCAAGGTCGGGAGAGTCCATGAGCAACACAGTGAACGATGCAGGCAGCATCAAAAGACGGTGGGACGGTGGGACGGACGCGCAGTCACCGGGGCAAGAACAACCAGCTGACATTCAACCATTGCAAGAGGCAGCGTCTGAGCAAGAGCTGCCGGTGCTGAGGGGCGACGTCCAACTGCACTGAGAGCATCAGCCACCAGCAAGGCTCCCTCCAGGAAGGGATGGAAGAGCGACGGAACCGTGTCCACCAGCCGACGGAGCCCTGAGAGCCCTCACTCTGCTCGGCCAGGAAAATGGGAAGACGCTCCTTGGCCGCCTGGTCGGAAGTGGCGCACAGCTGCTCCCGTTCTAAAGAAAGGAGAGCCGGCAGCATTCTCACACTTCACCACAAGTATCGCCACGCCGACCGCAAGGACCATCCTGCTGAAGATCGTCCAACAAAGGACGCAGCGATGCACTGACAGGGAGCTGCCAGAGGTCGGTCCAGACTCAGAAGAGGACGTGGAACGAGGGACACATATCACTGCTGGGGTCAGACGGATCTTGGCTGAAAGCAGAGAGCAGCAGAATGATATTTCTGTGTGTTTCATTGACTATGCAAGGCGTTCGGTGGTGTGGCCGGGATAAACGGTGGAGGGCCTTGAGAAGCCTGCTGCTCCTGAAACATTTCCTGTGCTCGTTTGGATCTTGTACGTGGATCGAGGGGCAGTGGTGCAGACGGAACAAGGGACTCCTGCGCGGTTTAACATCAAGAAAGGTGTGCATCGGGGTTGTATCCACTCACCTTACTTATTCAATCTGTCTGCTGAGCAAGTCCTCAGAGAAGCTGGATTATTGAAGAAGAGTAGGCATCAGGGCAGGGGGGAGGCCCATTAACCACCTGCGGTGTGCAGACGACACAAGCTGGCTCACTCAAAGTGAGGAGGCTTAAAGCCCTGGCTGATGCGGATCAAGGATGGAAGCCTTCCGTGTGGATGACGACTCACTGCGAGGCAGACCGAAACCCTCACCGCTGGACCACTAGGTAGCATCGTGAGGAGTGGAGACAAGGTTGACGTTGTCAGGAATTCTGTCTCACTTGGGTCCTCAGTCAGTGGTCATGGAAACAGCAGTCAAGAGATTGCGTTGGTAGATCTGCTGCGCAAGACGTCTCTGGAGTCCTGCCGAGCAAGGGTGTTTCTTTGAAGGCTAAGGTGAGCTTGGCCCAAGCCATGGTGGTCTCCGTTGTATGTAGAAGTTGGACATTGAATTTAGAGTCTGTGGAAGAATCGATGTGTTTGAATTGTGGAGCTGGAGAGCAATACTGAAAGTACCGTGGACTGCTCGGAGGAGAAGCCGAGCTGTCTTGAGAGAAGTACGGCCAGAGCGCTCCTTAGAGGCAAGGGTGGTGACACTTCATCTCACATACTTAGGCCGTGTGGTCAGGAGAGACCCGTCCCCAGAGGAGGACAGCGGGCTCGGTGAGGCGGAGGGGCGGCGAGAACGAGGAAGGTCCTCAAGGAGATGGACGGACACGGTGGCCGCAGCCCTGGGCTCAGACGGGGGACTAATTGTGAGGACGGTGAGGGCCGGGCAGTGTTTGGTTCTGTTCTGCGTACGGTGGCTGTGGGTCAGAGCTGACCCACTGGTCCACAGCAATAGCATTCGCAATTCTACCGAGACAAGTTGTACAATCATCACTGCAATCCGTTTTAGAACATTCCTCATGCTTGTACTTACCCCCGAGGAGCCAGGAACCTAGTTACCTCTCTTGGATGTCATCTAGGGGAAAACATTAAAAAAACAAATTAACTAAAAACTAATAAGAATAACGAAATAAAACAGATCTGAAAAACCAGCTCGATCAAGAAGAAAGCAGGAGCAAATTTAAATGGATCCCAAGGGAGATTGACGGATAGGGTGCTCAAGTTTAACTTCACTGCATCAGCAGCAACCCCCTTCCTAATGTATTCCACATCACAGCAGGACTACTCATAGCCCAGGCCCAGTGGTCGGAGGGGATTCCCCAGAGGCCTCATCAATGCACCTTTCTCCTTTGCTTTTGGGAACGCCTTGGGCTGTGATCCCAAAGGTCAGCAGTTCAAAACCACTAGCTGCTCTGTGGAGAGAGCTGGGGTTTCTACTCCCAGAAGCAGTTACCGTCTCAGAAACTCACCAGGCAGTTCCATCCTCTCCTGCAGGGCTGCTGTGCATAAGCACTGACTCCATGGCCGTGAGTTCAGTTTGGTGTGTGTCTTTTTGTTTCAACGGAAACATCTTTAAAATGGGGCAAAGGGGAGATCAAGTGATAGTAAATTGTGGCTTAGCCACATCTGCTATACTCAACTTTACAATGCTCTCTGATAACAAAGCCATTCAAATCCCTCAACTATGATGCCAGGAGAGTCACCAGAGGCTTAATCCACGTGTGAACCTTGCAAATGGATTTGGGAGCTTCCACTGTCATCTCTAGCCCTCTGAAGACCAGATGTTCTCGATGTAAGCTTGGACGCCATTCCCTCCTTTAGATTTGGAGTTTATTACTTACAATCTTTGGATCACACAGGTTGCTGTGTGCTTCTTCCATGTGGACGCCTCACTTAGATGGCTGCTTGTTTGAAAGCAAGCCTTTAAGATCCCAGACGCTATTCTTTCTGATAGCCAGGCACCATCTGGTCTCGTCATCACACATTGCTATAGCACCCATCTCTTCAGTGATCCCTTCATGAGGGTGAGCATAAGTGGGGCCATGTCATATGAATGAGTTGCTCTTTGACTGGGGCTGGAATTAAGTGCAAGCCCCAAATCCATTCATGCATCCATGGTTTATATATGTCTCTGGTTCACCTTAGCGACATCATTATTGTTTTATGGTAGAGAACATTGTAATCATCCCCCTGGGACATCGTTTCCACGGCCACCAAATCAATGCTGATCACGGGGCAGGGTAGAAGTTTGCCCATGAATCTCCAAACCTGCAAATCTGCACAGGAGTAGAAAGCCTCATCCTTCCCCTGAGGAGCTGGCTGGTGGTCAATAGCCCAATTGGTACCCACTACGCCTTTATAAATAGTGTCATTAATTTGGCCAATGGTACAGCATTTACAACACTGCTGAGAAAAGGAAATTATACCAGTACAGGCCAGCTATGAACCTCCGCACATGAATTGTTGACAGATTAAACTCCTCAGTGACTGGACTTTATTTACACAAACCGTGGGGGTTGGCAATAGGGAAAACCTTCCAGTAATATCCATTCACAGCAGCAGAGCCAAGCCTACCAGATCAATACATGTCACAATGAAGGAAGAGGGACATTAAAATATGAAGTACGTGGCAGTGCAGACCACCCTTCATCGGGTACCCTCAAGGCAAGAGAGCCAAACCGAAGTCCAACGTCCACCAGTTCTCTGACCTTGGGATAGCAGTCACCTGCTTCTTCTCACACAAGAGGGTTTCAGCCTTATGTCCAGTGACTACCGGTGAGTTTGAGGCAAAGCCTACCTCACTTAGCAGCCAACCTCTCCATCTCCACCTCCACGCCAACTCCCCTTTCTGCACCTCAGCCACGCCCCTTGATCCAAGAGAGCAGCACATTCCAGGCCACTCTGATCAAGGGGGAGGCTGGATGGAGGGGGCTGAGAGGGGGCTTGAGGACTTCCCGGGCCCCAGATCTTCTGTCCCTGTCACCCCAACCCCTCCGGCCATCATGGGGACCCATGGCCGCGCTCCTGGGCCCTGCTTCGTGACTTCAGGACCTGTCCCCCCACCCACCACACACACACACACACTCACACACACACACACACACACACACTTGATGGAAGGCCAGGGGAGGGAGAGGCCTGAGGAGGGGACTCTCTGACCCTGTCCTGGAGGGAAATGGACGCATAGGAGTTGGCCGGGATGGACCGGCCAAGGGCTTAGAGTGGGGGCCCAGCAGGGCTGGGCTACAGAGGAAGAGGAGGGGAGGCAGGGTCTTGTCCATCTCAGGCCTTAGGTGGGGGAATCACCCCCAGAAAGTCATTGGGGTGCTGGAGGGAGCTGGGGCCCCACCCCACAGCCCCCCTGGTCTGGCTTCCAGGCTTGCTGGGCAGCCTAAGGCCAGGACCCTGACATGGCTGGGCCCAGAGTCCTGCTCCCAAGACCCTCAGTGGAATGTGGTGAGGTGGCTGTCCATGCTGCCCCCCACCCGGTTTTCACTGGAGAGCCTGGCTTGTCCTCGTCCTAGTGGGGACCCCCAGGCATGGGGAGACAGGGTGTGACCTTCCTCAGAGACCACCACCGCCCCAGCCCTCAGACCCTGCTGCAGCAAGCCCTCCAGAGCTCCTGGAACTGGAGCAGGCTGAGTCCCCAGGCCTGCCCACCCCCCACCTCCCACCCCTACACACACACACACAGAGCAAGTCAGAAGGGCCCTGGGTCCTCGACTCCATGGGTAGTCATATGCAGAGCCCACCAGCCACAGGAAGAGGGTTCCATCTTTTATTGAGATTTGGGGGCCCAGGTCTGGGGACAAGCACAGAGGGGGGCGGGGGCTGGAGGGGGCATATGGGGGTGGGGGGGCGGCCCCACACCCGTCATGGGCGGCAGCAGCAGCAGAGGGACCACAGACACTTGGGCAGAGCTGAGAAGCGGGCAGGCAGACAACGGGTGGCCGGCAGGGTGCCCTGCCTAGCCGATGGAGGTCAGTGCGTGGCCCAGCGCCTGCAGCTCGTCCTGGACGGCCTCCAGCGAGCGCCCGAGGGAGCGAGGACTGTCCAGCACCTCCACGGCCAGCGTATACGGGTCCAGGCGCACGGAGAAGGGGCGCCGGACGCGCGCCGCGTAGCTCCTGGGGGCGCGGAATTAGCGGGGGTGGGTGCGTTGGCGGGGAGGGCGGGACCGAGCATGGGTGGGGGTCGGTCGTTGGGGTCTGGCAGGGCAGGACTGAGTGGTGGGTGGTGGGCCCGAGCTCCAAGCCTGCGGTTCTGCTTCCCCTGGTGGCCACTGTTCGCTACTGCACCCAACCCCCATCCCCACCCCCAGTCTCTGAGGCCTGCACCCTGGCCACCCTCCACCCGCCCACCCCAGCCCCCCACCCCCACCCCCTCTCCCAACCATCCTTTGCCCCAGGCCCGAGGCAGCAGCGATCAGGGGCCCCACGTGTCCTCTGGGCCCTCCTCCTCTTGAAAGTCTGGCCTTCACTGGCCCTGACCGGTCACCCAGACCCCGCAGCTCCAGCCTGCAAAGCCCCCTAGCTGCGCCCCCATCTCCCCCCTCTCCCACCCCGCCAACTGCTAGGGCGCCTACTCAGGAGGGTGCAGCCGTCCCTCAGGAACATTTGGAGGTGCGGCCGCAGCGCTCTACCTAAGCTTGTCCCTGGCGTCGCTGAAGCTCTCCGACACGAAGTAGACCGGCTGGTAGGTTTGGTCCTGGTATGGCTGCACCGCCGCCGCGTCGGGGTCGAAGGGCCGGACCTCGGGCTCCGCGGACAGGGAGTGCTGCGGGACACCCGCTCAGCCAGGCCCGGAGGGGCGCCGGCCCCACGACCCCAGGCCTCCCCAGCCCAGCGACAGAGCCCTGGGTCCTCTGCGGGGGCTCCGGCCCCCAGGGGGTCCCCACACGCCCTTCACGCTCCCAGGAGACCCACCAGCAGCTCCTGTCCCCAGGAAGGTCCCGCGCACCCCGCGCCCTCGGGAGACTCACCAGCAGCTCCCCGTAGGAGGAGAGCAGGCCGGCCCCGTAGGCCTTCAACTCCCCATTCTGCTTGCACAGCCCGAACTCCACCGTGAACCAGTACAGCTGCGGGACAGCCGGGATGGGGTCGCTGCGCGTGCCACCCAGGGCCCAAGGAGGGGCCCCTAAGCCTCCGCCCGCGCCTGGCGAGGTGAGATGCGCTTCCCCCGTCCCCACCCCAGGAGTCGCCGCACCCACCGTAGACAACTTCTCAATTTCTTCATCGGAGGCCCCCAGGGACGCGAGGCCGATGTCCTGCGGAGGAGAGAGGAGGTTGGTGCAGGGGTGTGAGCGCCCCCCTCCAGCCGTCCCCTGGACGCTGCGCACAGCAGACTCAAAATCTCACTGCCTGAGAGTGGCTTCTAACTCCCAGCGACCCTACTGGGTAGGGTAGAACTGCGCGCGCCCCCGCGGGGCCCCCACCACCACCCGTGGGGGTGGAGGGTCCCGAGACTGGATGTTTCTGGAAACAGAAAGCCTCATTTTTCTCCCTTGGAGCGGCTGGTGGGTTCAAACTGCTGACCTGGCTGGTGGTACGCTGCCCAAGCGTCATCCACTTCGCCCCCAGGGCTCCTAAGCTCCGGGTACCAGAGCCCCCAGCAAGGGCCGCGCCCTGCACTGCTGTTCCGAGTGAAGCCAGTAGGTGGCGAGGGAGACCGTGGAAACCCAGCCAGACTGGTCCCCCTCCCCTCCCCCGCCCCCGCGGTCAGCTTTGGAGAATGAAATGGTCATTCTTGGTGTCGCTGTGAATACCCTGCTCCCACTGAGTCTCGCACACGGACCAGGCCTGCCCACTCTCCGTGCTCCAGAAGACCCCGCATCCTAAAGTTGCCCCAAAGCCACTGGGGCAGCGGCCCCTCACTGATGTCAGCCCACACGCACTCCCCACGAACCTGGGAGAACTGAGCGAAGGTCCTGTTGGCCAGCATAGGCACGTGACCCAGCAGCTCGTGACAGCAGTCCCTGGGGACAGGGAGGAGGGCTGGAGGCGACCGGCAACCTGGGGCTACCCCCACATGGACAGGGACATGGCACCCCAGTCTGTCTGCTGGGACCCACCCACACCCTGGCCGGGGCAGGCAGGGGTGCTGATGCCCACATCCACCTGCTAGCCCCCCTGGACTGGGCAAGGGGCACCATGCCCACGTCCACCTGCTGGTCCCCAGGGCTAGGCAGAGGGCATGATGCCAAGCAGGGAGGGGCACTCACGGCTCTGGGGAGTGCATGGGCGAGGACGCATGGCGGATGTACTGTGTGCACTGGAACACACGGAAGGCCAGGCTGGCCAGGAAGTCCCGGGCAGACAGCAGGCCAGCCACAGGCCGGAGTTGGAAGCCGGTCCGCTCTACAACGAAAGGCCACACAGAGGTTGGACATCTAGGGCAGGGGTAGATGACAAGGGCGGGCAGTGTGGGCCTGGAGACCTCACGGGTAGGGCGGGGGTCACAGATGAGGGTGCCACCGGGTGGGGGTGGCAAGGCAGGGCTGCAGGTAGAGCATCACACAGGCAGGGTCACAGGCAGATGTCACCGGGTAGGGACACAGGCGTGTCACCAGGCAGGTCATGGGTGGGTGTCCAGGGCAGGGTCACAGTGGGATGTCACGGGGTGGGGACAGGGGGTGGTCAGGGTGGGAGGTTGCAGGCAGGCACCCTTCAGGAAACGGGACACGTCCTCCAGCTGAGGGACGCTGTCCTCCCCATAGCCGCTGTAGCGCTCCAGCAGTTCGAAGGCCTCCAGGTGTTCCCGGCAGGCGTGGGTCGCGTACAGCCCCTTTAGCGTGGAGTACACCTCCTTCCTGCGGGGCGACCTTTGTGTCTGTCGGAGACCCCGCCTGCTGTGCCCCACAGCATCCCCTCCCACAGCCCCACTGCGCCCCACAGAGGGCCCCTTGCTGACCCCTGCTGGAGGACTCAGGGTTTCCAGTGGTTGGAAGACAATGGTGGGGGAGGTGGGGTCCTGGGGGTGGACGCAGGGGGAGGGACAGCCTCTTCTTTCCAGGCTTGACATCCCAGACTCAGAAAATCCCTCCTTCATCCACTCCAGCCTCTCAGGCTGCACCCTCCCTAAGCCCCACCCCGTGGTGTGCTTGTCAGCAGGCCTCACCAGGTGGCGACTTCCTCTGCCGTGTACTCCACTCGGGGAATTGGGTCACCCCTGTGGGAGGGGCAGAGGTCAGTCCGATGCCCGGCCTTGCTGGGGCCTGGCTGTGTGTCCTCTCTGCCTCAGTTTCTTCAGCTGTGACTGGGGACCCCGAGGGTTCTCAGCAAGTGGATGGGCCAAGTCCTGGGAGACTAGGGGCAAGGAACTCCCCCTGCCCCTGCTCCCTCCCCACCCTGCCCTCCCAGCTGGAGTGAGGCTACAAGGCCAGAGCAGAGCCCACTGAAGCTCAGCTCCTGGGGGCGCGGGGGCAGGGAGGGGCCGGGGGACAGGCCCTTACTGCCGGTACTGGAAGGCTATGTCTGCAATCAGCTTCCTGCGCTGCCGGTAGGTCTGATCCGAGAAGCCCTGTGAATGGAGGGGGACAAAATCAGGGGCTGTCCTGTACCCCCACCCTCACCCCAGTCTCCTGCAGGGACATGGGCAGGGATGCCTCCTAGGGTGACCTCAGCAACTCCACCTGCATGCAGGGCAGCATATGGACAGACATCCCCCATGAGATAAGGGCTAGCCAGGGGCCCTGCCCATCCTGCCGCACATGGACAGGAGCCCTGGTTGGGGAGGGGGCCTCGGGGGTGCCACTCACCGGATGGTCCAGGTCCAGGTCCGGGTCAAACTTGGTGACCAGGTGATGGCACTGGTCTAGTTCAGAGACTTTCCTTGGAAACCAGGGCACTTCGTGGGGTAGAAGGCAGAGTGGAGTCAGTATGGAACCAGGGGTGCCCCATTCTCTCGGGCTAGGCCCCGTGGGGGAGACCAGGAGCCAGCGGAGAGGTGGCCACCACATGCCCCCACCCCCCCAGGAGCTTCAGTCCTTGGTCATGGGTCCCACCCAGGGGCAGAGGACCCAGCCGCACCTTTGTCCTCCTGAGCCCCCCGTAGATCCTCCGACACCCGGCGCACGGAGCTGAGCAGAGCAGCCAGGTCCGCTCGGGGCACCTCGCAGCGGACAAAGTACTCCAGGTGGGAGCCCCCATCCTGAGGCCTGGCAGCCGGCCGGGTCTCCAGGTGATAGATTTGGGCTTCAAATGTCTTGGGGAGCAGTAGCAGGGAGGGGGCAGGGGAAGGGAAGGGAGGGCTCTACTCAGCAGTGCACCTCCCCTGCCCCCCCCTCCCAGATGTTCGGGGCAGGCTTTGCTCTGAGCAAGACTGGATGTCCACCCCACTGGTCCCTGTGGGGTCCTCACAGCCACCTCCATGGCCACCCACTCTTACCCAAGCCAGGCCTGGACATGCCCCTCTACCCCTGCTACCTCCATGCAGGCCACTGCTCCCCACCCCTACCCTGGCCACCAGGCAGGGCCCCAGTTCCCGGGCCTCAGGGCAGCCAGGGCACCGAGAGTGAAGGCTTTGTGCCCAGTGCCCAGCACCCTCGCCGTGGTGCCTCAAAGCAACAGGGGCCGTCCGGGCGGGCAGCTCTCAGGGGAGCTGGCAATGGGGCCTGGCCCGGCTGTCATGTGGGACCATCTGCTGGGCGTCAGGTCACCACCTGCCCAGTCTGGTGGCCAGAGCAACTAACGCAATTAGAGCCCCGGTCCCTGCAGGGAGAGTCTCCACCCTGCACCCACTCCGCCCTCCTGCTTCCTCGCCAGCCCTGTGATGGCAGAAGGTGGCAGGGAACCTGGGGGTGAGGCTCAGTGGTAGGTCCCAGGGACATTGGGAATGTTCCTGGCACCAGAAGGGTGTGGCAAGGGGGTTGCCTGGGCCAGAGCCCACATGTGTAGACCCCCCCAGCACTGTCTGCTTCGTCAGGGGCTCCCTCCTGGCGTTGGGGACATCGCTGCTCTGGTATGGACACAGGGCCCCGCACACACATGGGCCTGCAGATTTGTGTGCATATGTATCCCCCTGCGAGGCACACGTGTGTGTGCAAACATGCACATCCACGTGTGTGGCGTGCACACATGCATACACACGTGCATGCTCTTGCATGCATGTGTGTGCCAGTGGGGCGTGTGTGCAGGTGTGAGCAGGGCCTGTGTGCCCGTACATGTGTATATGTGTGTGCACGTGTGTGCCCATGACTTGTGTGTGAATGTGTGTGCGGCCCTGTGGCTCAGGTGCAGTCGGCATGTACGCGGGTGCATGGCTTGTGTGCGCACACCTGTGTGCCTGTGAGCCCGCCCTCAGACCTCACCTCAAACACCTTCACGACACGCGACAGGGGCGAGGGCTTGGTGCCCCGCAGAGAGAAGAGCAGGTTCAGCAGGGCCCGGCCGTTCTGCTCCTGGAAAGCCACGGCCTCCAGGGGGTCCCCAGGCTCCGCCGCCGCCGCCACCACGGCCGCCTCCCGCTCCTTGCGGGCATCTTCGATGAGGCTCTGCCGCCGCCCGATGAAGCGGGGGGACTGTGGGGACAGGCGGCACCTCCTGCTCAAAGCGCCCCTCTGGAGGCATGGCCATCGCCCAGCTCAGCGGCCGTCGCTGGGTGCCTGCGGATCTAGGGAAGGCTCTGCGCACCGAGGTCACGGCCCCAGGCCCCGCCTAACTGGATTGGTGGCAGAAAGAGAACGACTGGGGCGGAGGGCGGCCAGCCAAGGGGCAGGTTTGGGAGCAGCCAGCATGCCCACAGCCACACCCCTTCCTTCCCATAGCCACGCCCATTCCCCAATAGCCACACCCCCTGTCCACAACCACCTCCCTCTCACAGCTCGCCCCTTCCCACAGCCAGGCAGGGAACCAGCTGACTCAGCCTTTGCCCAGACCCCTCTCGACTGTCCTCCACCCCAGGCCCCTGCCTCCTCTGGCCCCAGGAGCAATCTGGTCACAGGGTCATCTGTCCGGCCTCCAGGGCCCTGGAGCATTAGGGCTGGGGTAGTGGGAGGAGACCCACTCTCAGGGCTGGCCGCACTTGGGGGGTGGACTCAACCAGGTCAACACACTAGGACCTGAGGGCCCTCACCCAGAGGGTGCCTCACTGGGCGGCAAAGCTCCTGCCTGTCCCTAACAGGCCATGCCTTCATGAACGTCCCCCCACAAAGCCCTTTTCTCTCGGGCTGACGTGCCATCCCTAAGGGACAACGGGGCCACTTGCCATGGGGAAGGGGCTCCTGAGTCCCCCGAACCAGGAGCCAGCCCTTCTCTGTTCAGCACAGTCCCTCGGACCCAGGGTGAGGGCCTCAGGCAGTATGACAGGAGCAATCAGACCCTCGTCAGGGGGGCTCCTTTGTCTTCTCCATACACAGGACAGGGGGGCAGCTCACAGATGGGCAGGTCGGCGGAGGGACAGGTGGATGAGTCAATGAGTGGATAGAAGGGAGGCTAGACGGATGGACAGATGGATGGGTAGGTGGACAAATATGGGGTGGGTAGGTGGATGGATGGATGGATAGGTGGAATGGATGGACGGAGACGTTGGGGGGCAGGAAGGAAGGGTGGGTGGAGGAAATCCCCTAGGAGCCTGGATCACTTCTGTCCCCCAACCCTGCTCCCGACACACCCCACTCTCAGCTCCGTCAGGGTCTGGCTGCTCCCCCGACTCAGACAGACTCCCTCCCCCGCCCTCAGCCCCCTGTGCTGACCAGAGCACTGGATAGGGCAGGTAGAAGAATGAGAAGGGGGCATACAGGCCGGAGAAGGGACTCCTCAGTGCCCCCACCCCAGGTGTAGCCTCCCGATCCTAAGCTGCTCAAGGACAACTCCCCTTCCACACACCCCAGCCCATGCAGGGTCCCTGAGACCCCACCCAGGCTGTCAGTGAGCTGCTGTCACGCCCGCCCCTCTCACCATGATGGCTTCAGCCTGCTTGGCGTCCAGCTCTGACACGGCCCGGCGGAAGCCCTTGGGCTGTGGTGTGGCAGCACCGGGGGTGGGCATGGTGGGCGCTGAGGTCCTGCTCCGACTCCACAGCCCTCTGCCAGCTGCTTCTTATAGGTAGGGCTGACGTCAGTCCCCAGGCCCCCTCCCCCTCATGGCCCCTCTGCCTCCCTCCCGCCTGCTGCGCCTGCCCGCCCGAGGGCAGCCGGGTGGGCGAGGGAAAGTGCGGCTGGCGGTGGGCGGGAGCCAGGAGAAGGCCTCTGCCCCATTAAATCTAATTGCATCCGTGTGGTGGCAGACACCCGGCGGCCTCGCTGGCCTGGGAATCACTCCAGAGCAGGGACAGGGGCTTCCGGCTCGGAAGACAGGGGGGCACAGGCAGCCCCCCAAGGGGCACGCCCAGAACCGAACCGCTCATGGGTCAGCAGACACGCTACCTGCTCTTCCAGAACACTCTTCACAGAACCCTCCAGGGGCCCTCCATCCCACCTGCCTGGACACCGCCCCACCCCAATCCCCTACCCAAGACCCTGGTGCCCAGCACACCCAGAGGGACTCAAGAGCCGGAGGGTCAGCAGGCACCCAGATGCACCAATGCCATAGGCCTCCCCACTGAGGAAGGGGGCCTGCCTGGGAGCCCCCACCACCACCAAGTGGGCTCTCCTACATCAACTGTCCCCTCCCACAGGCCCTCAGAGGTGGTCCTCCACTAACTGCCTCTCTGACCCCTAAAGCCCCCTCCCACTTCTTTCCCAGGGCCCCGCAGGGTATCCAGGCTGCCCGAACCCCTCACCTCTGAGGGTGGCCAGTTCGTTGAAGTGTTGTCTTTGACAGGACCCCCAGAGAGACACAGGACCGGCCCTGCGCGATCCCCTTCCACCCCCCACCCCCCACCCCCAGCAGCCTGCTCTTTGCTTGGAGGGGGAGTTCCCTGGGGGCCTCTGTGAAGCACTTGCAGACGTTCAAGGGGCAGGGGGAGGAGAGGTTGACCTTTCTGCAGATGAGTCGCAGTTTTTAATTCACATCCTACCTGAGCCTGCTGAACAGAGATGGGAGCTGCTACCAGGGACTCGGGGTGGGGGTGGAGTGTGTGAGCTGCTCAGAGGCCCGGAAGCCACTCTGGGGCCCAAGGGCCCAAGTCCCAGGCCAGGCTCCATGCCAGGGGGCTCATCTCTACATCCTCCATCTGCAGTGCCCGTGGGGAAGGGGCAGGCTGGACTCAGGGCTGAGGAGAGGTCCGAGGTCTAGTGTCAACGGGAGGCGGGGTCCTGGAGCACGCAGGCCAGGAGAGCAGTGCCCACGGAGGACCTGGCAGAGGCTCCAGGGGCAACAGAAGGGGGTCCCGTCCAGAAGAGAAGGTGCAGGCAGCGCCAGGACTGTGCTGGGCCTCTGGCCAGCACCCCCCTCACCTGCTCTGGATGAGGACAGGGGCCTTGGCCAGAACCTGTCCCCAGCCCCCCCACTCTGCCCTTCGGTCCAAGGCCCCCTCCCCCACATCCGAAGAGCTGCAAATGCCTGAACAATTAAGAGGTGCTGGGGGGCATCGTGTCCCCCAGCGCTTAAGAGTCCCTAATGACAGCGGCCTCCCGAGGAGGGGAAGAGAGGTGCCTCACCTGGTCTCCACGCAAGCCCCCCAGAGGGGGTGCACAGAGCACCCCCTGCCCACCCCCCACCAGGCCCCAAGGGCAGTGCATGAGCAGCCCAGCTAAGACAGGCCCGAGCAGGCCCTGTGCTGCCATATCAGCCCCTTCCCAGCTGCATGCTGACCGGACCGCATGGGCCCCACCAGCTCCATTCTGAGTGGGTGCATGGTTGGATAGCACAGTGGGGGGTGGGGGACATGGTCCCCACCTATGGGGCGTGGAGATCATGTCCAGGGGTCCCAGAGTCAGAGGCCTTGTGGACTTCCTGGGAACACCACACTCACACCTACACACACTCACACACAACCACACTCACACACAGCTCCTCTCACGCAGATACACCCACACTCACGCCCACACACACATGCTCACACTGACACACCCACACGCATACCGACTCACTCTAACACACCCACACTCACACCTACACACTAACACACCCACATTCACACACGGACACTCTCACACCTACACACCCACACCCATACCCACACACACATGCTCACAGGCAAACCCACACTCACACCTACACACAATCATACACGCTTACACAAACTCACACAGACACACTCTAACACACCCACTCACAGACCTATGCTCACACTTATACATATATGCTCAAACACACCCACACTCACACCGACACCTACACTCATACACCCAGCCTCATACACAAACACAGACACATTCGCACCTACACACACCTCTCACTCACACATACACAAGCTTCAACCCTGACCCATGCTCACATCCAGACACATCTGCACACAGACACACTCACACATGGACACGTACACACTCACTCTGCTCCCTGGGGCCCTCGTCCCTGCCTTCTACCTGTCACCCCACTGAGTCCCAGAGCCTGCTATAGCCTAAGAGGAGAGGGCAGGGAACCCTGCACCCATCCTGCAGAGTGCATGTGCTCAGGGTCCCCCACTGGCCCCCAGCCTGGCCAGCCTGCAGGCCCCAGGCACCTAGGGACAGGCAGGGAGGAAGAAGAGCCAGCCGCCAACAGATAAGAGCCTGTCTGTCCCTGTCAGCGCTGAAATGTCAGAGCAATTAGTCCTAACGAGGCCATCGATGCACAGCAAAGCGAGGTAGGCGGAGGAGGGACACAGCCCGGAGAATCAATGAACAAGGTGGGCGGGCCCTTCCTCCGGTCGATGGGGTGCTCTTAGAGAAAATTGGGCATTTGGAAGTCAGTGACAAGACCAGCCGATGGCTGACACGATGCAGGGACACAAGGTGGGGCTGGTCACAATGGTCCCCACCCTCGGACAACCCCCTGGCTCTCCCAGAGCTGGTGTCCACTGTTTGGCTGGCCCCTTCCCCTGACCACCGCCCATGAGGCCTTCAATCCAGCAGCTGCTGCCTCCTCCAGACAGGCATCCTGCTGGCTCCCTCTCTGTCCGCTCTCCCCAGGGATCGAGGACATGGGCAAGCACTGTTGCCGGTCCACTGGAGGCTCTGGCTCAGCTCAAGCCCTGCCCCCACCCCGTGTCCCTGGGCTTGTGCTTCACATCCCAGCCTCAGGAAAAGCTCTGTGCTTCCCCCCTCCCTGCCCAAGGGCAGGCACTCAGGACGGGCAGACCTGCAGGCTGGGGCTGCCGTGGGTCCCACAGTGAGAAGACCAAGGATGGGGGTACCTCGGGGCCCCAAGGACCCTGTGCTCAGGTGGCAAGAAACTCCTTGCCCTCCGGCTGGGTGAGGGGTACTGGTCAGGAGCACTGGGAAGGGAGCGAAGGCTCCAGGCCACAGAGCAGGGGTGGAGTCACACCTGCAGGAGAGCCCACAGGGGTGACCCTGAATCTGGGTGCGCCTTCCAGGTGGAGGGGAACCCACCAGGCCCAAGACAGGGAGCACAGAGACAGGGGCAGGGAGTAGGTGGTTGAGGGGGGGCGTGCATGAAAGGGCAGGTTACAGGCAGCCAACAAGAGGCCACTGAGCACACTGGGGGAAGGGGCACCTCTAAGCTTGCTGAGCACCCCACATTCAAAGCTGTGCCTGGGGTATCCTGTGTACCCTAGTCACACCTTCGAAGGCCACACGCCCTCACTCCGGGGCTGAGGTAGCACCCGCCCTACCTGGCTCCCAGCGTCCCACCTCTGAGCATGGGCCACTGGGGCCCAGCACAGGCCTGGTTCAAACCTGTTCAGTGCTCTGCTTGGTCGGTGTGCGTAAGGGGCACCTGTAGGAGTACGTGTGTGTGCATGCATGTGAGTGCGAGTGCATGTATGGGCTTGTGTGTCTTCGTGGGGGGGGCATGCATGTGTACACATGGATGTGTACACATCTACCCATAGATTGCACTGGTGTGAAAGTGTGAGTGCGTGTATAGATATGTGTCTGTATACACGTGTGTGAGCATGTGCATAGATATGCTTGTATGCATGCACATCTGTATGCCCATGTGTGTACATACCACTTACCCACATGCACTGCCTGCACAGGCATGTGTGTGTGCATGTGTTTGTGCACCTGTGCCCACATGTATGTGTGTGGGAGTGCACTTGTGTATGTGTATGTGTGTATATGTATGCCCAATGTGGCCATCTGGGTGCACATGTGAGTCCATGCACATGCCTATATGTCTGAGTGCATGTGTGTACTTGTGCGTGTGTGCACGCATGCACTTGTGCAACTATGCACATGGGTGCCTACATGTGTAAGGAAGCATGTGTGCACCGGTGCGTGTGCAGGCATACCTACCCAGGCATACACACCCATGTGTGTGTCTAAGAATGTGTTCATTGCAACCAGGGCTAAGACAACCTGACCAGTCGTGGGCGTATGATAACAGGGTGACCCTTGTATCCCATTCCTGCATTCCCCAGACCCTGCCCAGCTGTTCCAGGCTCCCAGCCTCCTCCCTGGGTCAGTGACTCGGTCTGACACCCCCCTGCCCCACCCCACCCCCACTGAGCCTGACAAATCAGGGACAACGAGAAGCAATCAAGGCCGTTCAGTTCTCATTAGTCACTCTGGAGTTCGTAGCCGCAGCGACTGTTTTGACAGCCGTCATGTCTAATTACAGGACCACTGTCCCCTCCTGCACCGGCACTCTACCACAGGCCTGGGTCCCTGGCCTTGCCCTGTGCCCAGGAGGGGCAGGATGCTCCGAGCCAGAGCCCAAGGGCACCCAGGCTCAGGGTGGCCAGGGCTGCTGGGTCCACCTCCCATCGTTCCCGGACTTCCTGCCCATCCCGGAGTGTGGACAGAGAGCTCCTACACGGAGCCAGTTTTCAGCACCCACCCCCAATGCCGGGCTAGGTGACCCCAGGTGCACAAAGTGGGGATGGGGCAGGCTGGCCCTGCTTGAGCAGGCATGCACGCACCAGCCAAACCTCTCTGGAGACCGGAGTGTGGGGCTGGCATTCCTGGGAGGACAGGGAAGGGACCAGAGGCTGACTCTGCCCA